CTGCGTTATTGCCTCTGCTGGGAGAGGGCCAGTGGGCTGGAAACCTACAGTTCCTGAGACAGTGTAAACATGGAGGAAGGACTTTATTACTCAGGGCTGTCTTGTATTGCTTAAATGTCACGATATGTCTGCTGCAACAGCGTGCCAAGTGAAAATGTACACAGGTTGGTGTTGCAGCCTCTCACTGTCTGTGTTCACCTGATATTCCAGAGAGTGTTAAAATACTCTCTGCTTTTACTCAGGAGACCACGATGCTTAAGGAGAAGAAGTGTTCTAAGTCAGTGGCTCAAATCCTGCCCACCACTCTCCTGAGCAAGTAGGGCTGTGTTGCTGGTGTGTCTACTTGTGACAATCACAGGACTTGTTCTGCACTTTCCTCCCACCCTGAGTAACTGCAGAGAGCACCAAGAGGCAGCATTAACAAAAGTCATCTTAGAGGAGAAATGCACTCTCACTGCTTTCAAAAGGGGATTTCATGGTAAAAGAGCAAATCTTCTTAAAGTCCTTGTAAAACTCTTGAGTGGGGTAAGTATGTAAGTTACATAGGTTTGCTGCTGCCCTTTCAGACCTGAAATCCTCAGAGATGAGCCCATGATTTGTAATATGTGACAGGTAAGGTATTGTATTTTCATGAGAAATGAGACATTTTATAAGTGTTTTCTGCTCATTCCTTTTTTTTCCTACTGCCCTCTCCAGGCACCGTCTCTCCTGGGCACTTTTGATGCCTTGACACCAAGGCTGAAATCTCAGAGACGTGAAGTTGCCCTGCAGTGCCATGACCTGAGGCAGCAGGGCAAGGAGAGGGAAAAGCTCCGCCTGCCCTCAGAGAGAAAGGCTACAGCATGAAAACATTCCTTATTGCACACCAGAGTGTTCACATAGGACAGAAACTGCATGAATTCCCCTGCAGCAGGACAAGCAACCCTACAGCTCAGCCCACATGTTTTCACATGCAACTGAACTCTGAAAAGAAGAAATTCCCTGAAGTGATATATGGTTACTCTGTTTGGGATGTAGCAGGTATGAAGGCTGCATGTCTAGGGTGCTGAACATCTCTTTCCCCAGTCAGCCTGTTACTCTGGTGTACGAGAATGTGCCCTGGCCCACACAGCGGTGGTGTGGATAAAGTAAGTTCCTGGTTTTGCCACTGGCTGAATGTGGGATGTTGGGTACTTCATGTCCCTGGGCTTGTGTTGTCACTAAAATGTCTTTTACCTGCCTTAGCCCCTTGGCTGGGGTTCCTCTCACTGGACTGTCTATATGCATTGAATAGCTGGGCATCTACTCCAAGCAAGTCCGTGAGGGTCTGTCTACAGGCAATGAGAGACTGGGATCTCCTCTATAGTGGGATCTTACATACGAGTATACAGTAAGTCACTTTTTATAGGTTCAGAACTTTTCACTGCAGAAAAAGCTGAGATGAGTAGCTTGGACTCTCTTCTCCAAACCTAAAGTTTTGTCAAATGATGGCCACGTTTGGAGCACCAGGCCTGCCTCTTCTCGCACATTTGGACAGCATCCATACATTCGAACAATGGGAACTTGGTGTCAGCAGGGAGCCTGCAGACATCAACAATGGATGCAATTATGGGGAATAAACATGGGAATATATGCTCTGGAAAAGAAAGCTTTCCTCACAGCACTGCTGTGAAAAATAACAGAACAGAAAGGAACTCATTTTGTTTCACCTAATTGCTCTCCATAAATCATCTCTTGGCAGCAAGCTCAACTGGTCCACCAAAGGACCAATTAAAGCAAAGGGAGGCTGAGCGCTGTTTGTACTCACTGCTGTGTTTTGCATTACAGGAACTCTAATTTGTTCCAAGAGGGTGGCACCTCCGCCTTTTCCAAGCAGAGAGGAATATCCATGTCTGTCTGACACCGAGCGTTATTCCTTTAGAGCATCCTCGGCGCATTGTCTGGCATCCTCTCCAGCACAGTGTTTTACTGTCTAATGTGAGTTATGATGCTGCAGGTAAACGCTGATTAGCAAAAGAATCACAGAATCCTTTAGGTTGGAAAAGACTTCTAATATCATCAAGTCCAATCACCAACCAAGCACTACCAAGTCCACAACTAAACCATATCTCTAAGTGACACATCTACATGTCTCTTAAATACCCCTGGGGATGGTGACAGCACCACTTCTTAGGGCAGCATGTTCCAATGCTTAACAACCGTTTCCATGAAGAAATGTTCTTAATATCTAATATAAACCTCCTCTAGTGCAACCTGAGGCCATTATTTCTTGCTCTATTGCTTGTTACTTGGGAGAAAAAACTGAACCCCCTGTCTGGCTACAACCTCCTTTCAGGCAGTTGTATAGAGTCTCTAGGTCCCCCTGATCTCCTTGCTCAACAACCCCAGCTCCCTCAGCCTCTCCTCATGAGACTTGTGCTCTCAGCCATTCACCGGTAATGGCGACAAATGAACAAAGTCGTGACACCTGGAAATCAGCAACGAGTACATATGCATTTGTCTTTAAAATCCCATGTTACACTGCTCACAGAACTCCTTCAGCCCATTAGAGTCCTTCCTCTAATTTTCTGACACTTTTCCTGTGTTTGCCCAGGACACACCTTGGTCTGAGCCCTCCCCACTAGCTTTCAACACCCCTCCCGCACACACCCAGCCCTTGCCCCACGCCCAGACTCCTGCCAGCAGAGTGGCTACGGCCACCTCTCGGCCCTGCTGTCCCTTCTGCATGTCATCTAATGGGGACAATACCTGCTCGACAAGGCAGCCCTGCCACCCGTAGGGCCAGGCTGCTCTCCCACCTGTGAGAAAACAGGCGAACTCGCACTGCAGCTACACCACACCCCGCCCCGCCGTGGTGCTCTGGCTTCCCTCTCAAGGCTCACCACCACCACACTGCTCAAGGGCTCTGGCTAGGCACTGCATACCTCGAAACCATCGCTGGACCTGTGACAATCCAGCCTGTGCTGGATGGGGAGTGGTGCCGGACCCCGTCCACACCCTGCCACGCCAGGCAAACACAGTGGCTCTGCCCTGGGGAGGACGGGGCACCTCCTGGCCGCTCCCAGGGTGGCCGGGACCAGTTGTTTTCCCTCCCTGTTTGCTTTCAGGGTGTTTGTCTCTGCTGCTGTGCAGAGAGAAGCCGAGAAGCCAGTCTCATACAGCAGCAATTCAAGGAGGCGCAGCGGAGGAGGGACTGGGGGATACTGCCGGCTCCCCCACCCCACAGTCCTTTCCTCCCACTGTCGCTTCACGAGGCAATTTAGGTATTTTTGCTCCCCTTTCTTTCTCCTCCTGCTCGCCTCCTCAGTCTCTCCCCACTACCAGCTAAGCCTTGGCTCCCCGGCAGCTAGGGGGGAGACATGCCCTACTTGTACCAGAGCTCGAAGCCCAGGCCATCTGCGCTACCCGGGGCTGCGCGTCCCACCCACAGCTCGGGGAAGAGCTATGAGGAGCTGAAGCAGGAGTGCCTGCGCAGGGGGATCCTCTTCGAGGACTCCGACTTCCCCGCCTGCAACTCCTCGCTCTTCTTCAGCGAAAACCCACCAATTCCCTTCGTCTGGAAGAGGCCTGGGGTGAGTATGCCGTGTTCTCTCCTTACACCTTGCCAGAAGTCGGGCACCGCTGTGCTTCAGGATTGCACCAAATATGTGGAAGGTTCAGGGAGATGTGGAGGTGAAGTGTTGGGGGGGAACCCTTCCCATCTCAGGGGCAGTGGCACAGCGTTGGGATATCACTCACAAGGACCTCAAGCTGCAGGATGAGAAGGCTAGAAAGCTTTTCCCCATTTTTCAGGTGTAGCTCTTTGTATAGACACACTTATACATGCATGTGTATTTATGTGCTTGCATAAACAACTCATAGTCAGCCTTCTCTCTTCCGTTATTGCCAAACAAAAGATGACAATAAGAGGACATGCAAGGAATTAAGGGTAAAATACGTTATGATGATGTTTTAACTTTAAAATTGAGTGTTGTTAATGTAGGAAATTCATAATTAAGGTTAAACTTCAAAAAATTCAAACCTTTTAATTTTTAGAGTATGAGTCTTAAACTTACTTACTCACTTTCATCAGGAAACACTGAGAGATTACAAATACATGCCATGGTTACTGAGCCATTCAGCAGTAGCCAAGGGCTCAATGAGTATCTCTTAATGCATCTTGCATAACAGTCATTAATAATACAGTGAGAGCCTGAAGCGTCACTAGTCCCATGCTCTCAGATCACAAACCCAGCATCATTCCAGGTTCCTTCTCCCCACTTCACTCTGTAACTAATAACCACAGAAAATCTGTGGCAACATTTCAATTTTTTGCTAATGACTGATGTTTATTCTCTCTTTTTTCATAATCTGAAAGGTTCTTCCTTAGTAGAAAACTTTCCTTTGGCGACACTGATGCCAAGAGAGAAAAAGAATAAAATAAGCTTAAAGAAGAGTTTAAATTTTGGCTTATCTTAATCCGCAGTGATAGACATTCAAATGCCTCAGCATTTGATAGTTAACACAGTGACACTATAGAGCGGAATTAAAGCTATTACTCCTGGACAAGTTTCAGTTATGAAAAAATACGAGATCCCTACACACAGCAAGTGCAGGCATTGCTGCCTGCTTTGCCTATCTGTGCTCTAAAAGCCAGGTGAGCTGTGGGGCTGCCCCTCCCAGCAGGAACACTGCTGTGAGGGTGAGATACTTTGGGTGTGGTAACTCGGGAGGGCTGTGGGGCATCAAAAATGCAAGTGCCTGCAACAGTAAATCATAAAGAATAGTTATCCTTTCGCCATCCGTTCTGGCCAGCTGCTAGTTTGTCTTTTTTTTTCCATTTTGGGCTTCACAATAGTTAAACTTTCATGTAAAATGTGACCAGGAGTGGTTGAGAGCTTGTGTGCCCATGGGTATGGTACCCAAGGATAGTGGAGAATGATCTGTCTTCAGGATCTCTGTATGCTGAACTGGAAGCATTTCCAGGATGCGTTAAGTTACCTGACGTGGCATCTGCCTTTACACTCCAGTTCCCACCACACACTTCTGTGAGCTGCACAGTGAGAAATAAAACTCAGGGGAGGCCGAGAGGATGTGTAAGGACAGGGTGTTAGTTATGCTCTTCTCTGGCTCCTCAGCATTTAAGCTAAATCAGTTTCATCTCTATTATCCATCAAGACCAGCACCAAAATAGAGGCACTGTAACACAATTTCAATTTAACACGTTTTACTCTGCAAGTGGGATATAGGCCTGGAGCTGGAGAGGGTGAGCACACAAGCATGGCCTCTGTGCAGGGTATCTGCATTCAAACTGCCTTTCATGGTGACTGGTTTTTACTGCCTCTCCTGCCAGTATTTTATAGCGGCTTGGGTGGAGCATAGCACAATACATGCAGGTAATTTCAGGGACAAGTAGCGTAAATCTTCTGATCTACAATCTTTAGTAATGAGAGTAGAGAAGGCTTTCTCGTTATTTTGACATGATTAAATCTAGGTATGCATGTTTGTATACAGCATGAACAAGACCCTCAGCTAGTCATAATCTGTGAATCTCCCACTGCAACCAGCAAAATGCAGGAATCTGTACCAGATGAATATTTGACTTTCTACATAAATCTTAAGTGCTCTAAGATTCAGAAATTCAGAAATTTAATGATTTCGTTTAGCAATCCCTTTTCATTACAAATTAAACCTTTGAAACTGTACCTTATCAAAATTTTGGAATAATTTGCAGAACAGAAGACCCTTTTCTTATTATATTTCCCCTTTCTCCTTCCCTTCCCTTTTTTTTCTCTTACTTTCTATCTAAATTCGGCTGCTGGGATGAATTCAACAGCTCAGTGTCTGGGAAAGTTAGACATATAAATTGAGGAATGAAAAAAACCCAACCCCAAAATAGAAAGGCAAATGGGTTTTACCCATATCAAATGAGTTTTTGGTCTACAGGAGGAAGTAAGGTAGAAATATTCCTAATATGAACAGCCATGGGCAACCGGTATGACATTTTAGAACCAGGCAGAGAAATGTAATCACAGAAACCACCTAAACAGCTTCACCCCCAGCCTGTTTTAGGTCTCTATGCACCCCAACTACCAATGTGAGATAGGACCAGGCAGTGCAGTTTGTTTTCTTTTGAGTTTAGAGGAAACACAGCTTTGATGTGGCATCAGGATAGTCTTGGGTCACTGTGTTGTATCTCTCTAACGACTGCATGTCCCTACTTTTAGGCAATATCCTTGTCCAAGTGAATCCTTGAATTACTGTATGCTCTGTGTGACTGTAAGATCCACCTCTGGGTTTTGTCCTTTAGCTTACTGAAAGCCCTGATACATTATTACACCATCCAGTCTGAAAATCCCTTCAAAATTAATGTTATTTTTCCAGTATCCACTCAAAAACTGTAGAGTATGTTTGCTTTTGTGTAGTAGAGAATGTGGCACGGGTCCAGTTAAAATCCTTCCAATTCCTTTGTATTGACTGTTTAAAATTATTTTTCTTTGCTCTAGACATATGAGGTTCAAAACATTTTTTCCATATGTCTGTTGCAGAGGTGTGTAGTGAGCAATGAGTCGTGAATCTAATGTTCAGACCTATGTCAGTGGAAAGGTTTTTTATCTTGTCCCTTGCTAACACACAGAGTTTCTTGGTAACAGTTAAATACATTACTTGCTGTGAGAATTACGTCTCTTGGGAGTAATGGTGCTAAAATAAGGTATGTTATTGAAGACCAGCTACTTTTTCAGGCAGTGCTATATCAACATCTAAAGGCAATGAGCTATGGTTTTTATTGTTCATGTGCAGTCTCAACAAGACTGAGTGTATTTAACAAGCAGGTGGGCCAGGTAAGGAGGAGCTGTTGTTTGATTTCCCTTTACTCCATCGTCTGAGGATATGACGTTCTGTAGTACCTCCTTCCTGGGGCACTTGTGGCCGGGGCACAACCTGGCCACCACCTCCTCCCCAGCAGCAAAGACAAACAAAAACTATGCAAACCAGCTTCCTCCTGAATATTGCCTCTGCACAGCGAGCTTCTCAGGAGCAGCGCTGCTTCACTATGGAGAATGCCCCATCTCCAGCAGTGGCTAGCAGGAGGTGCTTCAGCAAGAAGTGCAGGAAGCTGAACAAGACTATTAATATTCTGCCCTATAGACAGACAAAATACAGTGATGTGAACTAAAAGCAGTTCAGTTTCATCTAGGCAAATGCAGGGATTAAATGACTGAATGTGTCATTCTATTTTTCCCCTCTCATTAATGTGTTTTATTTGCTGCTTAGGCAGAAGGGTCTGCTTCATGCCAGAGGGTCTGCAAAAATGTATAGGCCAGACTGATTAACTGCAGGCATATTCCTCTAGTAATATAGTAGGTACTCTCCTCTACCATTTTCTATTCAGTTCAATCAATTAAATTCAATTTACAATTCATGGGAGAAGAGAGGAATGCCACATTTATTGGTTTATCACTGTAATTTTTCTATCCAGCTGTGGTGCTAGTAATTGAATTAAAATGGTTAAATGAGCGCTTGAGAATTCCTTTAGTGCAACCAGAGACTCCCTCTCTGACCTCTGAGCACACAAGGGTGGGTAGCGTTAGCTCCTCCTAAAAATTAACAAGGCTGAAGTCTGCCTTTGTAGTTTGCTTATTTGAGGAGGAAATTGTCTCATGGTTGTCAGACACTGTATGTTCCGGATATTATGTGCAAGTAAATAAAAGGCTTAATAATTTAATTAAAAGTAAATTGCCAGTTGTAGTTTTTCCAGCCACTGGGGGAAAGCAAGCTAACAAAAAGCCCTGTTAACCAGGGTTGTAGCCTAACATAAAGCTTATGGACCAGTTTGTGCTATGATATTTTAACAATTGCCTACAGATGAATAAAGAATGCCAGCCTTTCATTAGCAGCCAACTAATTATGAAAAAATTAGGATAATTGATTTTTTAATTGCTGTACACTGCAATTAATTAGCAAAGATTCCCCATCTAGTTCTTTGTAGTGGCTACACTGCTGCAGGATAATATAGTTCATGTGGCATGCAGGGTTTGTCAGCGCTGGTGCAAGTCTGGGCTTAGAGTGGTGGTGCTATTTTCCTGGCACGTTCTAAGCAATTTCTGCATCTCTCACTGTTGCAGGAAATTGTCAAAGACCCCAAGTTTATCCTTGGAGGAGCCACAAGAACTGACATTTGCCAAGGCGATCTTGGTGAGTGATTCCCCCTGGAATGTTTACCTGTCATGAGGAGCAGTAGGAATATCATCCCATATGAGGGCATGTTGTCCCTCCTGAACTGATGGGAGCAGTGAAGCTGAAGATCCTGCCCATGCTCACCTGGCCCACGGCTACCTTTTGATTGTTCTCTCCCATCCCTGCCAGGGATTGTCTTGGAGTAGCGGGATTCAAGATCAGGGAAGGATGTCCACTTGAGGGTACTGTGAGGCCAAGGGAGCCTTTTATCTACCAGCACCTCCAGACTGAAGCACAATCTGCCCTGACCAGGCAGGGACACCTTTCTGGGGGCAAGTGGGCTGTCTTTTGGATTTCAAGGGGGTGGTGGTTAACTGCCATAACATCTCCCCTTGCCCCTTCTCTTCTTGAAGGGAAGAAAATGAGGTTTGTTTTTTTTTTTTGCTTCTCAATTCACAGGTGACTGCTGGCTTTTAGCTGCCATAGCTTCTCTCACACTGAATGAAAAAACACTAGCAAGAGTGGTGCCACTGGATCAAAAATTTGGGCCAGATTATGCTGGAATATTTCACTTCCAGGTAGGATGAATATGTGGCACAGCATAAACACATTTCCATCATTACATGTCGTGGTTTATTTTGCAGTGGGTTTGCCAGATACTACAGAGGAGACATTGAAAAAGTATGGATTGCTGAGCTTATGCTGTTGTTCATGTTTCAAGAAACAACCTAAGGGATACATCAGCCTCCCACAGGCACACACACATACACTCCTGCTCTGTGAAGAGATACACGGCATTAGAAATCATTTCATGTTTCCTGGGCACACAAACCTCACTTAGGATATCAGTCCTTAAAGGAGTTGAATGGGGATCTGTAATATTGTATGTCTTAAAGGTGTCTTGAATCATGTGAGGAACACTTCTGTAGCTACATGAGTGATGTTAACCTGACAGGAAGCTTCAGTACAGGTCTACACTTCTAGTCTTAGTCTTTTCTTAAAATAGATTACCCTTCCTAGAGAGCAGCCTAGCCTAGTAGAGTGGGAACAGATGATTTACATATGTCTTCTAATCAAGCCTAACTTACGGTTAGAAATACTAGGACACCAGAATCCTATGCTCAAAAAATGACATATTTCAGCAAACTCATGCCCATCCTTTCTAAACAGTTTTGGCAGCACAACGAGTGGCTGGATGTTGTGATTGATGACCGATTACCCACCTTCAAAGGCCGCTTGGTTTTCCTGCACTCAGCTGATCTCAATGAATTTTGGAGTGCCTTGCTAGAGAAAGCCTATGCCAAGTAAGTCACACTGCACAAACAGATTTTGTTGTTTGTACATACATTATTCACAATCTGTTCATATGCTATTTGCAATTCTAGTGAACAGTTTCTAGCCAGCTTTTTATCATCATTATTATTATTATTATTATTATTTTGAAACGGATGGTTTACATTTGCTGCTGCCCTGATCTAAAGATGACCATCTCTTGTGAGCTGCTCCAGCTTCCTGCACATCATTAAATACAACCTAGCTGATAGCAATAGCATTGAATGAAAGCCTGAATCCTGCCATTTGAGTCTCTGCTGAGACCTCAATTGATTGTTCTGGCTAACTTTGCATTTTTAAATGCTTTGGCAGGTAGCAAGCCACTGACGCATCTGACACACAGTAATATTCAGTCCTTGCCAACCAGACAACTCACACTAAAGAAAGAAGAGCCCCAGACTTTAACAATGTGGAGAAATGGATGAATTAAAAATGCTTCTAAAAAGGAAAGCAGAATGATCCTGTTACTCCTCCCATGTATCCTGGGTGCCTTCGAGGGTACTTATTTTGACTTCAGTGCCATTGCTGCAATTTTACACACGT